CTCCAAAACCCGACGTGGCCGCTTAAAACTTCCGGTTGTTCTAGGCGTTCTTGGCGATCAGGGCGGCTTAGACCCTATCTTTGCTCGATATCAAGTGACACGATGATTATGCAGAGTCTGATGGTGATCCATAGCTGTTTCAGGATTCGGGGCTTTGACAAAAATACATGCATATAGTATCACCTACGAGGCCACGATATATATTCGAGAGACCACACACAACATTGTAGAAATTGTAGTGTGACTTGGCTCAAGGTTCCTTCCAAGTTGCCTGTCGATAATTTTCGTATTAAAGTTCATTAAACATGCATGTAGGCCCGCGTGAGAGGTGTTGGGCGCAGTTCTCTATCACTTGATACTCGCAGAACTATATGGGAGAATGAAATGCACAATGTACCTGGGAATGCAAGGCGCACGACTAATGGGACTGATTGAACCTCCCAATGATTTTCAATTGATCATACCCCGGTCCCTAATTGGCGGAATATGCCAAAATCCGTGATGGATATGTGATCTATGACTCAGAAAGGGAATTCCCGGCATGCCACATACATACAGAAATCTAGACTGTTTCATATCTCGAGACGTGTGAAGTAATAATCTTCTCAAGAACCCCGCATCTGTTTCTCCGACAAGGATTCTTAATGGACGAGACAGACTACCCAGCTCGCATTCGTATTGGATGGAAGAAACCGGAAGAAAGTGTGTCAGTGATAAAAAAAAACACTCTAGAATCTATCAAGTGTCGGTCTGGTTGTGTTTAAAATGTCTAGAGAGCATGAGATCCCAGTGAAAAGCCCCTCTATCTTTCTATTTCCTATGTGTTCTAACAGAGAACCTGACATTACTTTAAACCTCCTTACCTCTATAAAGCATACATCCCGAGCACACAATAACTCCACTGGCCCAACGCTGGCACCATTTACCTGACCCCGTCGTCGTGGTCGTCTGATACCCCTCGAATCCTTTATCGTCTATCACACATAAAAATTTCATTCGCCTTCACCGACTTTCTGTGATTGAAATCCTTCCAACATGGCAGCCTTGTGGATATTCGTGGCTCTTGGTTACTTGCTGCTGTATGCGTTCGCTGGGATGCAAACACAGGAATGGTGTGTTATCAGCAACCGCATTGCCAATTGAGCTCCTTGCCATGGTGTGATAGGCAGGTTAGGGAACGATGACTGCCTCGGTTCAATTCCTGCCTTGTGACAATTCGGTTCATGCTCGGCTGCGGATTGAGCCGTTCCTTTCGAGAGACTCGAATGGCCAATCATGAATTATGATCTACGACTATTCCTACGACTATCTTTTTGATGAACTGAGAGACGAAGAGATATGAAAGCTGGATATCTGAAGGTCCAGGAGGCCTGGACAAAAGACCCATCCATATAAAAGGAAAACCCTCCGAGGGTTCCATACATGATGTTTAACGCATGAGATTGCGAAGGGGCTCCGCTACAACTACAACATAGAGTCTTTGATGATTATTGATGATGATGACTGCATGATTTTGAGAGATGTTTGATACCATAGGAGACAATTCTGTCCTTTGTTTTAAAGACTTGAAAAAATTTGTTGATTACTTTTTTTGCGTTCAACCAAGCCCTTTGTCAAGGAAAAAAACCCCTAATTGGAAACCATTCCGTATCCATTTCCATTTATGTCAAGGTGTTCATTGACAGGAAAGAGAGGGGTGTGATTTGCCCACGTCCTGCAGCTTATGTTTGTGCTGCACACTGGAAGGAATGTGATAGATATCCACATTTAATTGGACGTGTGAAGAGGGAAATCCCATCTTGTTCGCTTGAGATGATCCTTCCGCATGGTAGGGCCTTGAAATGCAGGTGTCACATTGAATTATTCCCCACCATATCATCTGAATGAAAGTTTTTGAGATATGGGGAAATTCATAGCAGAAAGGCTTTGCTATAACATGTCTTTTCTTCAGAACCAGATTTTGATCAATTCCTCACTAACAGCACTAGGCGTCAAGACACCGCTATCTGTGATCAGTGCAGAGATCAAGTGAGGGGGGGTGAAATCAACCGAGTCATAGAGGGGTAGCTTAATTGAGGTGTCTCCGTCTGTCTTAGTGACGGAGGACTGCTGCTTGCGCTCCTCTTCAAGGTCTTCCTCCGACTTGAACTCAAGAACTTGCTGCTCAATTGGTAGGTCGTACTGACCAAGAGGGTACAAGCGAACAAACTTATGGCTCTCTGCTACCACGTAGAATGGCTTCCCGATAGCCTTGGCGAGGAGACCGATCTGGTAGGTTCCCATGCGAGACACAATGCCTCCATTCTCAACCACACCCTCCGCACCCACAATAACCATGTCAGCCTTGCCGAGGGAATATGCCACCGCGGACTCTGGAATCGTTGAAACTGGCACACCCTTCGCTCTCAGAGCGCGGACTGTTTCCATACCCTCCGGTTCTTCATTGGGCTGCATGCAATCCTGGGAAATCGAAGATAGAACGTAGATAACACGGAACCGCACAGCGGGGCCACCTTCTTCATCTGCGGCTTTTTGCAATAGCGCTGCGACAGCTCGGGAGCCACCGTTTGTGAGGATGGTGCTGCCATCGCGAATGAAGCCACGGCCGAATGCTGCGATTTTGTCTCGGCTTTCCTTGGCGCGTCGGATAAACAGTCGTCCGTTTGACAAGAGATGTGTGCGGATGGCCTTGAAATCGCCCGCGGGACCTAGTTGTCCAGGGCGTTGTAGTGTGGTAATCAGGTATCGTTGGAAAAGATCGGTTCCGGCAGACAGACCGATGGGGTTGGGAATGGATCGTTTCAGGTGGGCGGTGGATTTTTCGAGTAGATCCAAAGTCTCTGATATCGTTGAAGAGGCTGACTGTGTGAGAAGAAGAACCAGAGCTTCAATGGCCGCAATAGGCATGGTGAGGTCGGCATCGGAGCGGAGAAGTTCATTGTAGGTTGCGACAATGCTGAAGGAACAGTGAGCAGGTGCGAGCGCTTCGAGCGAGCGCGTTTTACTTACTCGAATGGTTTCGTGTCGGCTACAGCCGCATCTGAAGTAGTAGAAGCCATGCTGTTTGAGCGTCGAAGATGAAGGAGTGGGAACAAAGCAACATAGAAGGAAGAGAAAGAGTCATGAATTCTATGTTTGTCTGGTTTGCACAATGCCCCTCCAGGCACTAACCCCGATCGGGCGTCGTGCGGGATTGTCTCCAAGTAAACAATCAGCCCCGATCAACAACAATTAGCCTATCCACTTCGATAATAAGCCCCTTGCCTGGTGATAGGTTCTCAGACTACCATGTCGCGCAACTCTACCGCGATGGGATATAACAGCCGTATGAGCCAGCAATTCCAAGGCAACCAGCACCACGGTCGGGGTCGCAAGAAGGAGGACGAAAATGACGCCCTCATGCGCTTGGTGAGCTTGATTTTTGCCGGAGCTTTCGTCTGATACTAACATAAAATAGCCCGACAAAGAGATCGCAGGATGTATCAACGATATCGGTATACCGTTTACCCTCGCCGACCTGGCTAAACCAAACGCCCAACAAATCCAGATGGTGTTCGAATGGTTCGCAGAACTGCTCATGAATACGACTCGGGAGACAGTGGAACCCGCAATGCATGCAGCTGCAGAAGATCTATGCGGCGACTACCCTGATATAATTCCCAATGACACTCGCAACCTCATGGGTTTCTTCATGATGCTCCGAAAGCTATTGGCGGAGGTATCTGCTCATCACTAGCTACGAAAACCACGAAGAGTATGCTAATGCCTATAGTACCAAACAGTGCGGTGTCAACGACTTCACCTTCACAGACCTGACCAAACCGACGCATGAACGACTCGTCAAAATATTCTCGTACTTGATTAACTTTGTTCGATTCCGGGAATCGCAAACACCTGTGATCGACGAGCACTTTAACAAGACAGAAAAAACGAAATCGCGCATAGACGAACTTCTGGCGGAAAATCAGGAGATGGAATTAAGGCTGAGGGAAATGCGACAGGATCTCCAATCCAATGAAGCGAATGTGAGAGAGAAAGTTTCCCGAAACGATGCGCTCAAGGCCCGGCTGTTGGAACTGGGTCGAGAGCAGTCGCGAGTCGCAGAAACACTTGATCGAGTTAAGACGGAAAGAGCTCGGCGGCAGCAACAATTGGAAGAGAAAACCGAACGAACCGTCCGTTCTCGACAAGAAGCGGAGAAACTGCGGCCTTATGTGCTCGAGTCTCCGGCTAGCCTCCAGTCCTCACTGGCTGAACTATCCGAGAATCTGATGCGCGAAAAGGCTTCCATTGATGCGATGGAGAGGCGAGCACGCGCACTGCAGACCTCGTCGGATACGTTCACCGTGGTTTCCAACGATGTGCAGGGATGTGTTAAATTGCTCGATGACATTTCAGCCGAGATGCAAAAAGAGGATGAAGAGGAGTCTCGTGCTGCTAGAACTGCAGAGGCTATATCGGACAGAGGGAACAGCGTCCGCGAGGTCGAGCAGACCGAGAAGCTCTTGCAGCGTCAACTGGCCCGTTGGGTCGAGCGCATCGAGGCACTTCAGAAAAATGCACAGGAGAAAGCCGAACTTGCGCAGGCACGCATGGAAGAACTCCGAAATGTTCAAAAACAGCTCCGCGAGGAACGTGCAGAGAAGCAGCGCGATATGGAGCGGAGGCGTATTCGCATTGAACAGACAGAGAAGAAGGTACGTCTAACCCTGTGTCGTGGGGGACGAACTATTGCTAACGCACTATTCTAGATGGTTGACTTGAAGGAGAATATTGAGACAGAAATTCAGTCAGCCCACGACCAGTACCTAAAGTTAGAGTCACATATCAAGCTGTACATGACAGAGATGGAGAAGTCTCTATGATCAATCAGTTGTTATTTATGTGCGAAACAGGAGTTCAGCGGCCAGCTACAGGATACCCGGACAGTGCAAATTCAGGAGTTTTATTATGTTACAATATCATCTCTGATATCAGAATTAAGCGTTTTCCATTCTTTTCTAGTTCTGATCAAATTCAAACCAGCGTTCGGCAACTCGTTTTACGGTGATGCCCCGTCCACCCCAGGTACTTTGATCCGATCGCATTCGAACTGACCCGTTCAGTAAGGGAACGTTCACATCCCATAGCATTTTCCCCCGAACAGCACTTGAAGGGTCCAGGGCATTCACGCATTCATAAACTTGGAGATCCATCCCCGCCCTGGAGGAAGCCTCAACGAGAGAAGCGAGTGTTCTTGAAAGCCCCTGTGCGGAGAATTCCGAAGTCGTGACATGCAAAGCTATCATATCAAGGACAGCAATGAGTTGTCGGTCATGGGCAAGCGATCGGTCCTCGGTAGCTACACCAACAGCAGTATCGAAAATGGCAAGGTATGCCCGAAGAGACTCTAAGCTCGGGCAGAATACCAGTCGTATTTTGCTGGATCTTGCAAGCAGACCGATTGTTTTTGTGAGCAGGCCATGGCTCGCGGCCATGTCTGGATCAGCGCGTTGTGAGCGGATGGCTGCTGTGAGCTGAACTAGGAACTCGGCTTTGGTTGCGCAGACAATAAGATAGGTATCTGAATTGCCTTCAAGTAGTTGCTGCAGGAGATCAGAGACCAACTCGCAGTGAGCGACCGTGCATGTTGGACCCATTGGTTCAGATAGTTGTGTTCAGCTCCCACTTATTGCCCCTCCGAGGTCATCAACGAGAGGTGGATCATTTCGTCTTCAGCTCATAACCCGTCAAACACAAATGGTCATGGTAGTCGTAGATATTGAATCAAGTGGTGTGTAAATAGTAGTCAGAACGTTGCAGATCGAGTTGCGGCATCGTCCACTTCACTTCCGCGGAGCTGCTCCGCCTTTCCTCCCCTCACCTCTCACCCATTCCCTCCGACTCACCCAAGGCCCTTGGTGACTGGGCATTCAGAAACTGGAAAGATGGAAACAATTTCCAGGATATCCTCGATGCTGGAAACAGGTATGTCGGGTTGGGTTGCAATCCGTTCTATTTGGCCTGAACTGACCGTGGAACGTCACTGTGCGCATAGCCCGAGAGCTCACATTAGAGGCTGCCCAGTCCGCTGCTATCAATCGGATCTCAAACACCGACTATACGTCGCGAACATACAGCCCCGCGCACATCAAGAAGCTCCTTGACAGTCGCCATGAGCGGGAAGTCCTGGATGGAATGCGGAGGGTCATCTCGGTACGAGGATCGTGAACAAGAAGTATGGAAAACGCAGTGGCTGACTCAATTTGCTGTTCTAGTTGATGTATCGATCCGAACCATCCCTTACTTTCTTTTCAGCAGTTGTCAAGAATGTGGCCAGCGCCAACCTCGAAGTCAAGAAATTGGTTTACATCTACTTGGTTCATCATGCGGAGGCGGAGCCGGATCTGGCACTACTGTCTATCAACGCGATCCAGAAATCGCTGACCGATTCGAGCCCGCAGGTTCGAACAATGGCGCTTCGGACCATGTCGGGAATCCGGGTTCCAGTGATCAGCCAGATTGTGTCGCTGGCCATCAAGAGAGGATGTGGGGATATGAGTCCACACGTGCGCAAAGCGGCCGCTTTGGCTATTCCAAAATGTTATCGATTGGACCCGAACACACTGCCACAGCTAATAGGGTATCTTGAGACACTTTTGGGTGATTCTCAATACTTCGTCGTCGGCCCCGCAGTCGCGGCATTCTTAGATCTGTGTCCGGATGAGATTGACATAATTCACAAGCACTATCGCAGCTTGGTCAAGAAGCTGGTTGATATGGATGAATGGGGCCAACTAGCAACATTGCGCTTGTTGACATTCTATGCTCGAAAATGCTTCCCTCAACGAACTCAGACGGTTAAGCGCACAGCCCCGGGGGCATTTTACGACGATGAAAAGCAACAACAGGAGACGCAGAATGATGTTGAAGAGTACGAAGTTCCGGTAATGGATCCTGATCTTGAGCTTCTACTCCGAGCCTGCAAGGTTCTACTGCAGAGCAGAAACTCTGCCGTCATTGTCAGCGTTGTCCGTTGCTTCCTTTACCTTGCTCCATCAGAATATATTTCGTCAGCAGTTGGTCCCCTTGTGGCTCTTTTAAGAACGCCACAGGACATGCAGCTCATAGCTCTGTACAACATTGTTGCCGTTGCTCTAAGGGTGCCTAAGCCTTTTGCGAAATACACGGCCCATTTCCTTGTCCACGCCAACGACCCGCCGCATATCTGGCGCCTCAAACTGGAGGTGCTAACCATCTTGTTCCCGCATTGTGGAAAACACTGGAAGGGGGTCATAATCAGCGAACTAGAGCACTTCTCTAAAGGCACAGACCCGGAGCTGGTACGAGAGAGTGTACGAGCCATTGGACGTTGCGCGCAAGGGGACACAAGTACCGCAGGCATGTGCCTACGGATTCTTCTCGGCCAGATATCTAGTCCGGACGGCAATCTCGTGTCGGAGTCACTGACTGTGATTCGTCACTTGATCCAACAAGATCCAGCTTCACATAAAAAGACTGTTCTCCAGCTCGTCAAGCACCTAGGTTCAACAACACACCCAGACGCACGAGCCACTATTATCTGGCTGGTTGGCGAGTTCGCTGGAATTGACCCAGAGAACAATATCGCGCCTGATATCCTCCGTATATTGATCAAAGGATTCGCAGACGAGATGGAAATTGTCAAACAGCAGACTGTTCTTCTTGGTGCCAAGGTGTATTTACACCATCTCTTGCAGAATCCACCAAAGGAGCAGCCAGAACAACCTGCATCGTCGTCATTCCCTGAAGCCCCCGCCAAATCCCAACAAGAGTTCCACAACGAATGGACTGACAATGGGAACGAGGAACCGCAAGATGTCGAGCGGACTGAAGAGGGAGAGGAAAGCCGTGAAGAAAATGACGGCACTGAACAGAAGGAAACAGAAGAAGCAACCGAAGACCGTATCACGTTATTATGGCGGTATATCCTCCTTCTTGCACGTTACGACACATCCTACGACCTGCGTGACCGGGCGCGTCTCTACAAGAGCCTCCTAGAAACGCCGTCTTCCACCCAACTTGCCAATCTCCTTCTCCTGGCACCAAAGCCAGTTCCTCACGCCCCCAGCCCATCCGAGACGCGCAAGGACCTGCTCATCGGCTCCGCCACTCTCGTTGTCGGCCCTGACGCTGGTTACCACGGGCTTCGAGGCTACACGAATCTCCCAGACTGGGTTGAGCCGGGCCAAGAACCCGATCCCAGCCTCCGCATCGAAGATGTGAAACCAGACACATCCAGCGACTCCACCGCCATGACTGCAGGTGACCGCCTTGATAAAGCACTTCGTGAACACAAGCCCACTTCCATTTTAAGCCGAAACGGTCCGGCTTTGCCTGTAGACCTGGTTGGGAAGAAAACTCTTGATCAGTGGTTACAAGAGGAGGAGGAGGAAACCGAGACAGAGTCTGAAACCGATTCTGAAGAAGGTGAAACTGATTCAGAGGAAGAGGAGACGGACTCGGAAGAAGAGTCTGGCTCAGAGGAAGAAGATGATGACTCTGAAGAAGAGACAGATTCCGAAACCGAAGCTGTGCATAAAGAGGCACAGCAGTTGCTTGGTTAAACGTGTCCGAATCTATAGATGCTGGCTTGATTGGGGAACCTTTTGGGTATATTGAAAATATGAGAAAACGAATCTGAATAATGTTTGGTAGCATCTTGGAGGCTCTTACTAGTGATCTCGACGGCCTAAGGCCCCCCTCTTACTGGCTTATTCTCCCCGCCTTCACAATTAGGCATATTCCCTGCCATATGGTTGGTAGTAGTAAGGCAGCAGAGCAGGTACCTACAATTTGTATGTAAACCACTAATAAAATCAAGTCCCTTTTGTCATATCATTATTAACTGCTTAATCAACTGCTTTATCGTCAACTACTTTATCGTCAATTGCTTTAGCAACTACTTAAGTCACCACTTGAGCAACTGCTCTTGTAACTACTTTAGTAACTAGTTGGATCGGCTAAATCAGCCAAATCCAATGCGAGCAAGTAAATGACACAGAATCTCATAATCAATGAACTCAGCAGAACCGGTTCATAAAATAGCCGAGACAGCACGTGGGTTCTATATCCGGTCTCCCCGGACTCCCCGGACTGCCATTACTATATATGCTTTGTTGCTTTTTGCTGCAGTGTTACTGTACTACGTCAGGGATATGGTTGCCTATTGAGATAAGGATTGTTGTCAAATACCATGTATATATATACCACTCCATGGTACTATATATTGTGATAGGGCAATGATTTGACGTGCGGGTACTTGTACCCGCATTTCAAAGTCGCGAGTGCCTAAATAGACGATGATTGGTGCGCCCGTTTTTGACTGCAACATAGGTGTGTACTCCGTATCTAATGCATACAATCAATTCATTAGGCAAACCCCCACGTACCTATAAAGGAAGTCTACTAGTAGCAGAAAATAGGCGGGGTTAGCTATGAAGGGCACCTAATGCATTTTGATAATGCATTAATAGGATATTAAAGCATTACTGATTTTTAAAGTGTTACGCTAATACATAAGTAATGAGCCTGGGTGGAGAACTGTAGCACTCAACGACTGAATGCGGGTATGCGGGTACTTGTACCCGCATATCATCATCACCTACGAACACAACGTGCATGACCGGGCGGGCTGTTGAAATGCTCGGTTTTTTCATTTGGAGTGGGAGAGTTGCCTCTTTACACACCCATCCCCAAAGAAAATCAGCCAAACGATACTGCAAATATGGACATCTCCCGGATTATCAAGCCCTGGAAACCCAACTCTCAAAGAAACTTGGTCTTTGTGAACGCAACCATCGTTGACCCAGCCGAGGGCAAATTGATCCCAAATGCTACAGTCCGAATCGCAGAAGGCAAGATCATTCAGATCGTGACAGACGGCTCAACTACCATCATAGATGACGTCCCCGAAGAAAATGTAATCGATCTCAGCGGAAAATACCTGTGTCCCGGCCTGATCGACTGCCATGTCCATATCGCAGTCGTTCCCGGCGAATCCAGTCTACAAGCCTATAGTGACATGAGCGATGCAGTCAGTCTCCTGCGACAGCCATACCTGCTCAAATCCATGCTGGACCGTGGCTTCACGACAATCCGGGACTGTGGTGGTGCAGGCCTCGCGATAAAAGAAGCCGTCGTGGACGGTGTGATCCCGGGCCCTCGTGTCTTCATTGCTGGACATGCACTCTCCCAAACCGGTGGACACGGCGACCTGCGCGGGTCCCATAACTCCCAGCAGTGCTGCGGCGGCTCCGTCTCCGGGATCAGCAGGGTTGTCGACGGCCCAGCGGAGTGCTACAAGTATGCGCGCGAGGAGCTGCGCCAGGGAGCGGATTTTATCAAAATAATGGGCGGTGGCGGTGTTGCCAGTCCCACGGACCGTATTGAACATGTGCAATTCTCGGACGAAGAGATCAAGGCTATCGTCACCGTTGCGCGGAATGCGGGCACATACGTCACGAGTCATAGCTACACACCGCAGGCGATTCAGCAGGCTATCAAGCTCGGAGTGCGCGGTATCGAGCATGGAAATCTTGTTGATCTCGAGACCGCGAAGATGATGGCTGAGATGGATGTTTTCTTGACCCCGACGCTCATTACGCATGTCATGTTCCAGCAGATGAAATTCCTGTCTGATGATAGCGCTGCTAAGAATGAGGAGGTTCTTAAGAAGGGATTAGAGACACTGAAGATGGCTGTCGATGCGGGCGTGACCGTCTGCTTTGGAACTGATCTTCTCGGTCCGATGCATTTTGCTCAGAGCAAGGAGTTCTCGGTGCGCAATTCGGTTTTGACTCCGTTACAGATTTTGCGCAGTGCTACTGTCAATGCCGCTCGTCTTCTTATGCAGGAAAATAAGTTGGGTCAGGTCAATGAGGGATTTGCCGCAGATCTATTGATCTTGAAGGAAAATCCGTTGGAGGATATCACTATTCTGGATCAAGTCGAGGATCACATTCTGACTGTGATCAAGGATGGAAGGGTTGCCACTTCACGGTGGGACAAAGTCAAGGTAGATGTTTAAGTCTTTTAGAAGAGAGAATACACTTTTGGGTTATATCAAGGACACTGAAGACATTGTATGTAGATTTTGGCCGCGATCGCGATTTCCCAGATCAGGGTGCCGCTAGGGTCCTGCTCACTGAGTACCAAACAGGGTAGTTACTACTCAATTGTACTAGATAAGCTTTCAGATGATGGCCACTAACCTGGACAATATCACCTATGCAGCCCCGTGCCCAGGTCCTACTGAGTAATGTTCAATAATGCCCACCTACCTATCCATCTATACCTCGGGATGCTCAGTCAGCAATCAGATCGCACCTGGGCATTGACCCTGTCCACGGGATCATACCCCGGACCCACTCTGGTCCTGACCCGCAGCGACCCGCACCCGCCTTACCCGATTAGGCTGAGTGAATTTGATAACTATGTTGTACAGATGTAAGCTACGTTGCGCGTAAAATCGATGTATAAGTTACACATTTTGCCTGTCTATCTTATTAAACCCAGAAAAATGGAGGGTAAGTGCCAGCTTTGGGAGAAGCCAGGTCGAATGATATAACATCCTTACGAAGTATAGATACATAGTTGCGGTATGATCGGAATTTGAAGGTAGCTTTCACCGGATAAATTTAATCCAGTAGTTATATGGTCCCAGCAGAGCATGGAAGCAGGGTCCTGATTGGTAAAATCCGGTGTCTATGGCCGCTTGAATGATAGCACTCCGCCCCGACACAGGCAAGAGAAACGTGGATATGACCGGGGTTGGATAGTGTTTCACTGCACCTGAAGCTGCTTCATAGCCCGGAGGGAGCTTGAGAGGAACAAGCGGTTCCCACTCTAGCAATATATTTTGCTCATAGTTAATGCGGCCAAAGTTCATGGTTTTGTTTAGGTATCGGGCTAAACCGGTTCGCTTCCCGAGTACCCGATATTGCTGTACTAAATCCTTCATTAGGATGTATGTTGATGTCTCGGGTGCCAACATTGTCTTGTAAATGTGTCGACTCGGGGGACTCTATGAGATAATTTTGACCTGAGGTTATCATCCTGCGCGTTAATATGTCCATGCTACCCATAGCCAAGGGACCTACCGGTATTGAGTCTAATAATTGTTAGACTCTGACTTGTTGACCAAGAGGACCGAGAAAGGAATTATGTCACAATAGTAGTTGCGAGTTGGCCAAAAATGGCCTTGTAATTAAGGCGCCTAGGAATAAAGGCGGTGTGGATATAACCTTGCTTGTGCCTGAGCTCATCCCGCAGTTCGGCCGTGGTGCCGTCTTGATCTTTAATTCCAGAGCCTTCACTTTGCACTGGAAACAAGGATCGGCTGTACCAGGATGCTTTTTGCTAGATTGACGCACCCATCCTTTCTATCATCGTCTTCTTAACATCCCATCTCGACCTCGACCTCCGTCCTCTCGCATATCACTTTCCTTTAGCTCTCTGCACTTGTCTACCTTGACACAAGAACAAGGTATAGGGAGCTCTCTGTCATTGAACAACAAGTATCGTACCCAGAAGGAGTCATTGTCGCTCGTTTGTCTTGAGGCCACTGTATCTGCATCTCGCCACAATGCCTGGTCTACCAAGTATGTGCATGGTTTTTTTGATTCCATGATATGGTTGTCTCCGTGGTTATGTTAACCTATCGCTTCACAGCGAATATCGATCTAGATGAGTGCATCTCTCGGCTCTACAAAAAAGAGCTGCTTGCAGATTCGGTGATCGAGGCAATCTGCCTCAAGGCGAAGGAACTCTTGATGAAGGAGAGCAATGTGGTACATATTGCTGCTCCAGTCACTGTGGTCGGCGATATCCACGGCCAATTTTTTGATATGATCGAGATTTTCAGGATCGGCGGCTACTGTCCTGATACAAATTACCTATTCCTCGGTTAGTCACACGCATAATACTCTGTTCGGGGATGGAAGCAGGCCTCGGCTTGAACATATTTGTTGCCCGCTTTTGGTATGAAGTTTTGCTGATGGAAGAATCGACAGGCGATTATGTCGACCGTGGACTTTTTAGTGTGGAGACCATCTCACTCCTCGTGTGTCTCAAGTTACGATACCCTCAACGAGTGCACCTCATCCGCGGTAACCACGAGTCGCGCGGAGTCACCCAATCATACGGCTTCTACACTGAGTGCGCGCGCAAATATGGCAACGCCAACGTCTGGCATTACTTCACCGACATGTTTGACTTTTTGACACTGAGCGTTGTGATTAACGATGAGATATTTTGCGTACATGGCGGCTTGTCACCTTCTATCCATTCGATTGACCAAATCAAGATTATCGACCGTTTCCGCGAGATTCCACACGAAGGTCCTATGGCCGATTTGGTCTGGTCTGACCCCGATACAGAACGCGATGAATTCTCACTCTCGCCCCGCGGCGCCGGATACACTTTTGGAGCGCAGGTTGTGCGGAAGTTCCTAGAGGTGAACAGCATGTCCCACATCCTACGCGCACACCAACTCTGTCAAGAAGGCTACCAGGTTCTTTACGATGATCGCCTGAGCACGGTCTGGAGCGCACCTAACTATTGCTACCGCTGTGGAAACCTGGCCAGTGTGCTCGAAGTGAGTGACTCTGGCGAGCGGTTTTTCAACGTTTTTGATGCTGCACCAGAGAACGATGCCCATCGCCTTGAACAGCTGGGTCAGCAGCAGCAGAGCAAGGATGGCTCTGGTCCAATTGTCGACTACTTCTTGTGAATCTCTGAATCTTCTCATGATACCCATTGGTTACTGTTACTGTTAATGTTTGATTGATTGATGTTAATGTTTATGTATTTCAAAATTTTTTCTTTCTAACCCTAGCACTAGACAGGAGTTCGGGATAAGGCTGCGCTTTTACAAACAGCTAGATGTGCTACTTGGTATCTATGAAAATATCATACACCAATAAGTGAGACTTAGTATGACGCATAAACAATAAAACAGGAATCCAAAGCATCAGCCCCAGTGGGACACATCTCTAACAGTTTTGTCAAAGAAAGAAACTCATCACGCTTTGAAAACAAACGGCCGCTCAATAACAACGAGATAGCTCTCTCAACCCATGTTTACCAGTCCTTGCCAATGTCAAAAGACCACTCGAACAGCAGGTGAGTGTGCTGGTCATCATCAATGAACTTTGAGACGGCGTTGTAGTGGCCACGGGCGATCATGCCAGACGGGGCCTCCTCCTCGTTGACTAATAGGGAATGGTATTAATAAAAGCTAGATCTGAAAACCTAGAAATAGAAGCCAGGTTCAAATACTCACATTCCTTGGAGTAGTCAACCTTGCTGGTGGTGTTGGGCGCGTAGCTGCCCAGCATCTCTTCATCCTTGCTGACCCGGATTCCCTTACGCTTGACGACCTGCAGGTACTTGAGACCACTCAGGACTTCGTGGTGGACCTGGAAGGTAACCTTGATGTGGAACTTGGAGCCCTCCTTGATCTTGAAAGGCTTATCCTTAAGGCTGTCAACTGAGCCCGGGGAGGACAGGTCGATAATAACATCCTCACGCCCGTCGACCTGCAGGGCCAAGGACTTGATGATACACTTGCGAGGATCATTGGGATCGGCAATGGGCTCACCGGAGTTGAGACCCAAAGAAGCCTTCCAACGGTTCATAGCTTCATCGTCCTTGTCTATTGCGGGGGAGAGAAAGACGGTTAGCTGGGGAGATCAGGGCTAGACATTGCCGATGCATTGCAGATCACTCAACGTACCGAGCTCATTGTACTCATCAAGTGTCTTCTTCTCTCCGACCTTGAAACCCTCAGTGGTGGTGGAAGCGAGCTCATCGTCATGGTGGTCGGCCATTGTTTACAGATTAAGAAAGCGGGGGCACTGAACCAAGGGTTGAAGTTCGGGGAAGTGATGTCGTGGAAAAGGGGTAAGTTGGACAGTGAGGAAAAAGTAAAAACAAATTGGAAACTCGAAAGGATAAAGGAAAGTGAAAAGGGCTAAAGCTCGAATAGTCTCCTGAGACTTTGGTGGGGGTAGAAAGGCGGTGGGAGAGGGGCGAGGCTATTCGGATTCCCACTTCTGTACGGAGTACTCCATATGCACGTTTACGCACTGTTGATCCTGCACGCTTATATTGGCCAGGAGTTTGGATTGCCTGGATTGTGTGGGCCAGGCTATGCTTTCTACAGCATTGTATGGATTGTAGAAGAGAATTGGGACGAGCATATGTATACTCCGTAAGACCCCAACTATGCCCCAACTAGGTGTGGGGGCCGATGATCAGACCACTGGAGGTACATACGTAGTTGCCCACGTTTAGGATGTATGTACAACATAGATTATAGGTTTGTTGCGAAGAATGTACTCTGTATAAAGCACGTAAGATGCGTTGATAGATATGTAAACATACATACCTATATGTACTCCCTGGAAAAGTAGGGAGGGTTTCTGTAAGCAATTCTATGCAGTATGAAGACATTGCATATAATCACACTCACATATAGAAACAATGTCCCATAAACATGCTCCAGTATCTCCGCATTCCCTGTAGATGAAGATCAAAGTCCAAAGAAGGAAATGTTGGCCCGAAATGTAAAATGTCACGGGGCCAAATGAGATACAGTGGGGTAAATCCGATACTGTGTCTGAGAGTAATTGGCCAACCAGATCCCTCAAATACCACACATGACCACCCATTTACCGGACCTTACCGGAACAAGTCAAGCTTCAGAACGACGCAACGATTATTCGCGACTCGCATCTTCTCTCTCCTGATTGTCTTCTTTATCTTGGGTGACCTTTTTTTTTTTTTTCTCCCCGTTATCAATCATAATTTTGGTTGTAAGGTTCTCTACCAAGATACAGGATCGGTCGGTAAATATTTGATCCTTTGATTTTTATCGCTTGACGCGCCTGCTACGTGGCCAACGTTGGCGCATCTTTCCCTCAAAGAACACCCGCACGATCCTCTAAGATTCATTCCCATCTCACTCGAGATCCATCCCCACCATGTCGCGATCACTTCCAAAGCAGTTTAATCCACTCATCACGGTCGAGGTTGCTCCCACTTGTAAGTTCGAACACTGGCGCGTGGTGGCGCGACCGCGCGCATCGGCTATCTACCCGCCCCGTGCTGCCATCGCTAACAATTTCGTGTTACTCTTGATTACAGATGACGAACTCCTTGCCCGCCGTCGTCTTGGACAAACCAATCTCTCCGTCAAGGCGGCCCAGATTGGCACCTCAAATGCCACCAAGCCGGAGAACCTAGGCGTATTCGAGTATGCTCACCTTCGTGCTCCGCTGCCCAAGGATCTCGAGGGCTCTGAGATCTTCCCTTCCCACACCTCCCAGCAACACCCAGAAAGCTACTTCCTGATGGTGAGACCCCTTGTTTTGTTTATTTTGGAGGCCGACGGTCATTAACTTCGGGCCTCATCATTACAGCGCCGTAGTAAAGATGGCTTTGTTAGCGCGACTGGAATGTTCAAAATTGCATTCCCATGGGCGAAGGCCGAGGAAGAGAGAACAGAGCGTGAGTATCTGAAGGCTCGCGAGTACACAAGCGAGGAGGAAGTTGCTGGAAATGTGTGGATCTCGCCCTTATTTGGTATGTTCTGCCTGGGATGTTCTCTCTATCAAACAAATCCTGACTTCATACCTAGCCCTTGAGCTTTCCAAGGAATACCAAATGTACGATTGGGTGCGAGCACTGTTGGACCCAACGGACATTCCTTCCAGCGCAAAGAAGCATATCACCCCTCCGCCGAAATTCGAAATTCCCTCCGATGAGCCCCCCGTGTCGCAGCGCAACCGCAGAGGTCGGTCCGCTTCTCCGAGCAAGAGGTTGGCGTCTCCTCGGAAGTCTCGTAGCACCCGCCTCGCCAACGATGTCACTAACACCCCGTCTACAATCGCTGCAAACGCTAGCCTTCAGTCGGCATTAGATATCTCAGCTTCAAGCCTCTCGGACACGATTCCTGAGTTGCGAGCTGTGGAGGCTGAAATGGAAGTGACGTCGAGCGGATCTCCTGGAAAGAAGATCAGAGTGCGCAAGTCAACGAGATCTAATACGGCGGAGCCCGAAGAGGAGAAGAAGGAGGAGAAGAAGGAGGAGAAGAAGGAGAAGAAGAAGGCCGAGAAGAAAGAGAAGAAGAAGGAGGAAATCAAGGAACAGGATGAGAAAGCCGAGGTATTACTGACCGATGGTGCCACCGATGCTGTCAAGTTTACCCACACTACTGTTTCCTTGGATATGCCCATTAGTCTCCCAGAAGTGCCATCTGCTGCGGAGACTGAAGAGATGATCGCCCAGGCCAAAGAGATGGTGGAAGAGGCTATCAAGGCGCATGCCGAGGGCGCTACTGTGGAGTCGACATCCATCAAGGCGACTGGCAAGCGCAAGGCCGAGGACGATGACGACGAAGAGACATCGGCTGAATCTTCCCAACGAGCCAAGAAAGCCAAGGTGCTTGAGAACAAGCTCAAGCAGGAGCGTGTCCGCAACCGTTCTATCTTCGGTGTCTCTGTGGCCTTTGCCCTTGCGTAAGTCATCCCATGCCACGAAGATCCCGAATCAATCCTAACCTATATAGGGCCTCCATCCCATACTTCTTCTAAACAGAATGAGGTTTTGCTTGACAAAGTCCAGTTTGTTTGAAATTTTAGTCTTCTCTTTTCGGCGGGTTTGTCGCTTGCGACAGCCCAGCTACCCAAATATTCGCTTCTGATGCCCAATTCCCCTTGTCGTTACCATAAATATATTCCTCACTGGTTCTGAGTGCCCTGTGCCTGTTATTGTCACCATTTCCTAATATCTTGCCTCCCCTCCCTCTCCCTGTGTTTTGCACCAGTCTTGGTTATTTGGATTGCCTCTTAGCTCATTTTATGCCCCTTGCCCTTGCTCTCCTGATACCAACTTTCCCCCCCTCCCACTTTGTACTGCCCCGTGGCAGCCCTCCAAGTACTAAAGGACGATTGCTCAATGATAGTGATATGCTTCAATGTTACTAGTTGTGTTTCTTGTAGGTTATAATCTGTATATTTATTTGATGTCATCTTGGTATAGTTAGCTGATACCAAAAACTTTCAATATTCTAATGTTTACATAATTTTTCTACTCGAAGCTGAAGTGAGGCATAGTTACCAATTGAAGGCAATCACCAGGCATGTGGGCGCAAACAATGAAAAATGATATGGATGAAGTCGTTACATTTACCTCTAATGGATGTATTATGCAATGTGATAATGCAATAAATGCCCAGTGCTATTCAGGGTATGGTTGAGCATAGAGTACGGAGTAGTAGCCAAATATTGAACCAAAGGAGGAACAACTAGTTAGCGTATTGGGGCATTGTGAATATTCTAGCCATTCACTTATCTCTCAGATGTACGTTCACTGAAGCCATTCATATCTAGTTATTTAACAATTATCTGTCTAACTACATAGTACGGAGTTCTCTGGAGGTATTCACATTGGCCAATGACAGCTGAGTAAACGGCTAATGCAAACATGTAAAACATCCATGCTGAAGCTCCGCCCAATATGCTTCTTTCACTCCTTCAATAATTGCACATATTCTGGGGTTTCCTCTGGGATTTCTCAAATTGATCAGTAACATGTCACTTCCAGGCCTCGAGCTAACCCAGCCATCGGAGGAAAGATCGCAGGCACCCGCGCCACCATCGCAAATCAACCTAACCCCAGGTTCGGAATGGCGGTTTGAGGTTGCCTTTGGACATATCATCAAAGTAAAGGTATGTTATCTCATCTAATCTGATTGTGATCCTTCTGACTCAAGTTGTGCAGCTTCTCAACGGAACTGCTGAACTCTTCGGTACAGAGCTTGCCGAATCGCAAACCTACACATTCACCGGCACAAAGGCGGCAATTTTCACATGGCATGGCTGTGCACTTGAAGTCACCGCGGTCGAAACAGCATCAACTACCTCCGATGGAGTCACACCGACAGTGGGTCACGGCGCAGGAGGATGTCAAAGCGAATACACGGCCGAGGAAACGCCAATGGTAGAATATGCAAACGTCCACTTTGCGCTAGAGACAATGCGCGAAGAAGCCCAATCAATAGGCAAGGATGGCCCGCGCGTCCTACTTCTTGGCTCTGAAAACACCGGGAAGACTAGTTTGGCTAAGATCCTGACCGCATATGCGACCAAGATCGGTCGTCAGCCATTGGTTGTGAACCTCGACCCTACGGAGGGTATGCTTGGCGTCCCTGGCACGCTGACCGCGACTGCCTTCCGCACCATCTTGGACGTAGAAGACGGCTGGGGAAGCAGTCCCATGTCTGGGCCCAGCCCCGTACCTGTCAAGCTGCCGCTTGTGTATAGCTACCCGATGCAAAGCCCGCTAGATGGTGAAGGCGCCGTGTACCGACCAGTCGTCTCGCGTCTGGCATTGTCTGTCACGGGCCGGATGGCCGAAGACGAGGATGCGCGCGAAACGGGAATCATCGTCGATACGCCCGGCATCCTTGGCACAGACAAGCCTGGCACCATGGAGCTCATTAATCATATTGTCACAGAGTTCTCGATTACAACGATCCTAGTACTGGGGTCGGAGCGCTTATACAGCACCGTTGCTAGACAATACGACAACAAGCCCACCTCCAGCGCAACAGCCGCTGTCTTCGACGAGCACATCTCCGTCGTCAAGCTTTCCAAATCCGGTGGCTGTGTCGACCGTGACGATGCCTTCCGCAAGGCAACAAGGGAGTCCCAAATCCGCTCCTACTTCTTCGGCAACCCTATCCCTTCCTCTTCACCCTCTTCCGCTATCACTCTCTCCCCCCACGCACAGCAACTTGACTTCGCCTCCCTCCCCGTATACAACT